AGGCAAAATGTCTCGATTGGCTATAGCGACTCGAGACGGACATTTTATCGACGTAGGTTTTCCCGGTTTGTTATATAATTTGTATCGGACGTCATTGTTTTCATTTGCGGATTCTTCGAATGCGACGTTTTCTTGGCGAAAGTGCCGAGGAATCGGTCGCTTCTGAAATAAACCATCTGTTTTCGCAAGTCAATTTAAAAAAATAAAGTTTTTAACTTCAGGAAATTTATTATTAGCAAAATTTTTATTTTCGAAGATTAAATACGATATACATCTGTCTAGCATAATAAATTTGAAAGTCAGAATTTGTAACAAAGTTTGGCAAAATTGAATAAACTAGGTTAATTAGATGTATGTAAAATTTTACATAGAATTTTTCACAAAAATTTAATTGTACATTGTAAAGTCTTTTCTATAATAATGACATTTGATTATTAAATAAAGCCATCTGACATTCTGTTAATTAAAATTTTAATTGTAGTGTTGTAAAATTAAATTGCCGTACATATAATACATGCAAATTCTGCGTTATTACATTACTTTAGCGGAACAATAGGGGCGGCATATTACGCAATGTTGCCCGCATGATAAGGCTATTGTACTGCATGATAAGACACAGTATATCGGCGAATCCACAGATAAAGCGGATAATCTGCGCATGAGGAAGCTTAAAAGAATTTCGGATCCTTTAACGTGATAATATTGAAATAGCTATTTTCGAGTAACTGTAACGTTTGAAGCGAATTCACTTTTCGAAATAATATTCACTCTTCGAAAAAAATACAATGGAATATTCTTTCGTACATTTTTCTTATAAATATTTTCATAAATGGAATTTATTTTCGAGTAGGTTTCCGAGCGCTATTCGCGGTAGAAAAATATTTTCAGAACTACTGCGTTTTCAACCTTTTCCGTGTCTTCGTTGCTCTATCAAGATCTATTCTATTCCGCGCTTTCAATTCCATTTCCCGCGAATGATTAGCATAGTTGTGCCACCTGATCTAGAATTGGCGGCCTACTGCAGTGTTCTGCCCGCAGGAGACTGCATTAATTCATATCTCCGCCCGCGATCGAACGTATTCTGCAAATGGCCTGCAATTTATCAAATTCCGATCGTCGCTTTAAGCACCGATTGATCTTCCGCGAGGATGCTCGCCGTGACGCCGCTTCACTATGCGCAGATCGTCCGATCTGATGAGATACTTTATTTCGCTGAAAAGGTCAGGTTTATCGCACGCCGCAGGGCACGCTAACCTCTAGCGCAGTCAGATAAATAACAGGGGGCGATTAATACGATATAGCGCGCGACGAGCTAGCCGACAGATTTAGTCTTGGCCTTTGCCAAAAGTGGGTCATACCGATTTCGGGCGCTGGCCGCTTGGCCAATTAAACGCTAATCGCCGTCGGCGAACATACCGCCTTCAACTTCTTTCGACCTATTGCTATCAACTATGTTAGTCGGCTAAGTGCAGGTTTGATTGAAATCGTCTGTAGTATGTATACACGTGTGTTTGTGTTACCCACAAACGCCACCTTGTTTTTCGCGAGACTTCTGCTAAATTTTATGTATATTGATTAACGTAAAAATTCAGGAATCTTCAGGAAATAAGCATTCGGTCCAATTCTTGTTGAGAAAAGAAACGTGAATTCTAAATTAATAATAAAATTCGGCTTGTCCTGTATCGAAGCGCAGAATAATATGAAACAAAGTGGAAAATGTAGTCGCAGGCAAAATCCTTTTCTACATTTTATGAAATATATCTTAAATATATCGCGATAGCGCGATGAAAGATTTGCCGAAACGTTTTCCAATCTTCAATCGCTCACTGAGCTAATAATGTTTCGCGATCGGAACAATCGTCGCTTCTTCTACTTCGGTCGCTTTCAATTAAAAGGAAAGACGGCGAAATCTGGGACATATCTACAGATACGCGGATGCAGGTAATCGATTGGCGGTTTGCCGCGAGTTTATTGAGAGCCGGGGACGTTGGTCAGGAACAAATCCCGGCAGATTGTCGCTTTCAGGCGGCTCCCGCCCCCCTCCCGTCCCCGCGACGAAACTGTCCGTTCAAAGACTTCATCTCGAGACGAATATCGAACGGTTTTCCAATACTTTCGGCCGATGGATTGAGGATTCTTCCTCTTCTCCTCTTTTTATCGTACCGCACGATTTGTACCGATCTCAGGCGCGCAATATCCACTACGCCGCTGTGTCATTCTTTTCTGCCATTGTTTGGCTTGGCGAAGCCCGGGAAAGTCTGACGGAAATGGAGTGACGGCTATTGACTTCGAGATTAAGCGATTCCTGTGCGACGCGACGGTT